TCTATGGTTGTACGCTCTGGGAGTATGCTCTACCGGCAGCTGACTCTCAACCATAGAGCGTACGCCCAGAGCGGCCATTGCCAGAAGCCTCAGTTTGGAAGCTGCCGAAAAAGCCATGCTGGGATGGCGGCAGCAGAGGTGCTCTGGCTCTGTGGGGAGAGCTGGGCGAGGGCATCGTGATGCTGGGAGGTGCATGAGCGAAAGTGGAACAGCTGCTTGCGCAACCCCCCTCCAGCCATGCAGAGTGCCATTCACTGGCATTTCGAAGGCGCCAAGCCGCGGGAGCCGGGCGGCAACGAACAGACACTCACGCAGCTTGGAGATACCCCTAGGCCAGTGAATGGTACTGTGCCTGGCTGGAAAGGGGATTTGCCGGGCGGCTGCTTGTGAGTGTGGTCATCTCATGGCTGTTGTGTTGCGCTGCTGCGACAGCACAACACAGCCGTTCGCCCCTGAGGCTGTGCCCAGCTCTTTGGGAGCCCGCTCACAAGAGAGCAGCCGCCTGGCAACCCCCGTCTTCAGCTGGGCATAGCACTGCTCACCAACCTAGCGGTATCCCGAAGGCGCCAAGCAACGCAATCACCTTTGCCTTCCCCCCGGTTCCCGCGGCTTGGCAACTTCGGGATACCCCTAGGTTGGTGAGCGGCACTCTGCCTGGCTGGAGGTGGGGGGTTGTCCAGGGGGCTTATTTGTGGGGGAGGGCTTATATTTTTGCCCACCAGAAAAATGTGGCATGGCCTTATTATCAGGACATGTCAGATTTTTGGGGAAACACGGTATGAGGTTGAAATATCTATGTATGTAGCTTGAAAACTAGAGCGGCAACTTTATTAATACAGAAAATATCTCTCCTTAACCCCCACCCCCACCCCAATTTTTGTTTGTCTTTGTAAGTACTCACCACTCCAAACCAACGAGTGACATGATCTACCAGCCAATATATAGGCTCAAAGAGGGCATCAAGAGCTGTGTCGCCATCAGCAAAAGAGTTGTAAAACAGAGAGCGCAAACAGAGATGTCCATATAGCCACAGTTGTTCCACTTGCTGGGTCAGCCAGAACCGACGCCGCTGACCTATCCGCAAACACTTCAGGAAGAGACGCATGACAGCGGAGTACATCCGCCGGCGACTCCTCATCCCTGCAGCTCAGAACCTGGGAAGAAAGGAGGAAGTGTCAGAAAGTATATGACAGGGCTTGGTGAGGAAAATGTTTGCACCAAACATTCAGAGCAGTGCTCTGGGTACTGCTCCATCGTCATCTTGTTAGGTAATGCCCAACTGCGCGTAGGTGAAGAATCTTTGCAACGAAATCTTTCCCCATTGTGGCTGGGGAATCACTCACTCTGGATGTCTCCAATGCAGCATTAATGGAAGAGTTATGCCCTCTTCCATAATACCAATGGGGATAATAACACAGCAATAAAGGTTTTGACTTTACTGATGCTTCTGCTTACTTTCCTAGGCTGAACAGCAAGATACCTGTGTGCCTGTATGCATATAGTATTCAGAATGCAGGCTGTGCTCAGAACTTGGTCTACAATTGCCTGAAGAGCATATCTTTTATGATTACCGGTATGTTTGGGTTTCTTTTTCCCCTGCATAACTGCAGAAAATCATAATAAAGGGAGAAAAAGGACTAAATCAGAGGAAGCCAAAAATATATCAAATGGTAAGGATATTAGAACTGATGAAACTGGCATGGTCTGGAATTGTAATCCAGGATTAGGCACCTCTCTGAGATATTGGACATCGGTTCTCCATAATCTCTAGCCAACACGAACATCATTTAAACAGCGAAGGAATAACTAGAATTTAGCCCAATACTCTTGAATAGGATACACTTTATACAACACTCTTAGATTTAAGAATAAGTAATGTAGCTAGAAATTATTCTAAAAAATCATTGCTTTCATTCCTCATTCATGCTTTTTTCTCTATCTTTTCTAAATACCAACGTATTCCATAATCACTAATCCCTCTCAAAACTAATCTCTTCCTTGGCATCTCTGCCTCACTTGAGCCAATCATCCCACTTGGACTAGTCTATGGCCAGCAAGGAAGGCCAAATGTTTAAAATATGACTTTTACCTGTTTGTAGAACTCCAGCGTCAAGCAGCTGCTAATCAAAAAACAAGAAGGAACTTGAGCTGGATGAGCTCTGGAGAAAACTGATCTTGGCCAATTAATATTAAGTGAGAATGACTCTGAGAAGTCCTCTGTGGGAGCCAAAAGCACCCTGGTAAGGTGATGCTGGGGCAGATCAAATTAAATTTTAGCCAATGTAAAATTAGACCTACATGTTTCTGTCTAAAACTGCAACAACTGTTACTGGTTTTATGCCAACAAAATATTAATATCTCTCTCCTCCCAGTTCTTATTTCAAATAAGAGTTTTGCTATAGTCAATAGAAAACATATTATTTATTCTTAATGTTATCTCGGCATACAAAGTGGAATTCTTTCTTTGATATTGAGGAACTTCATTCTGAAGTTTGATGATAATTCACCAAGTGCAGGAGTGTGGTTTCCTGTTAAGTTCCAGAAGAAACCAACAAATCATGTGGAAAGCTTTGTAAAATCAACCTGAAAATTATAAACAATAATACTACTATCCTGAAAAATCTAAATCAGTCTTGCTTGCATTCCATCATTGCCTCAAATTCTCTGGCCTTCCACTACCTATTTTAAATACAATAATGCCCTCCTCCATGTATTAAGAGTCCCCACCATTTGTAAAGAGACAATATGACTATACAGATTATGACCACATAGGTTAAGCAGGGTGATCAGTTTCTCATACGCAAATATTTCATGGTGAGTCAAGAATTACCTGAATCCACTTCATTTGGCAGCGGTGGGAAGTGCAATACTTTAGCACAGGTCTTGTTGTCCAAAAAATTATGCACTAAAAACCAATGTTGTCAAATCATTGTATAATCGCTGTATAATATTCACAAAGAACAGATCTCAATTACCAGTAATTTTCTTGGGGTAGGATATTTAGAGGGAAGATCAGAAGATCCTGGTTATTCTTGCAGGACAAAATGCTTACATTAATTCATTAAGCACGAGTAGGCTACAGAAAAAAATAATGTAAGCATGTACTGAATATTTAGTAACACACAAATATTTTGTCTTCCCGTCATTGCCTTTTGCCAACCAAATTTACACCAAGACACCCACGACATAACGGAACCCGGGAAGCAGAGCCAACCAGAGCTTTCTAAAGGTTGTAATACTTTCTGACTCTCGAAGTTGAAAAAGGTGTGCCCGGGTTGTAACTCCGCCTTTGTGCAAAGCTCAGCTACTTAGGCACACATATGGCTTTGGCAATAAAAAATCAATCGCAGACGGGGAAGGAGAAAGAAAGCAATTGTCGCATCTATTCATCGGAATCTTTGGAGAAGGCCAAGGCTTAAAGAAGGAGAAGCACGTCTGCTTCGGCCAATCGTCCTTTTAAGACGCGAGAAACCAAAGCATCCTAAAAGAGGTCTTGCCCGCACGCATTTCAAGCAGGAGGCTAGGCAATTCTTCGGCCAGCGAAGGAAGCTTCATCCCAGATTCGTTTCACAGCAACAAGCAACATCAACGCCCAGAGCACGGGGACCATCAGAGTCTTCAGCAAGAAGGCTAAGCCCTAAACAGCAATGCAGGAACTTCTGGAGGCGCAAGCCGGGGAAACCCAAAGACGTGGAAAAAGGCCGTTCACCAATAGACATCACTGTCAAATCGGTTTCCTTCCAACTCTTCCCCGCTTACCTGGAGCTGCCATTTTGGGGGCTCAATCAACCCCGTTCTACAGACCTCTCCTCGACAATTGCAGCCTTCCCGGCATCATTTTTTCTCCTCCCCCCCTTATCCTTATTCGCACATGCGCGACTACACGTTGGCTAAGCTACATGAAACTACACTTCCCGTCATGCAATGCGCTTCAAAGCCCATTCTTTTCCGCCGGCCTCCTAGTTACAGTTGCTCTGCTGCTGTTCGGAAGAACGCGTGCTTGGAGGAAGTCACGTGAGCCTGGAATCGGCCAATGGAAATTCCAGCCACCCGCGGGGAAGAGGCGGCCTAGCGCGAAGTCCTTTCCGTAGCCCGGCATGGCTCCTGTGCGCTACTGTGTTCCTGGTGGGTGACTGGGAGAGGGAAGGATGGGAGCCGTTGTAAGAGGGACCATTCCCGGGTTGAGTGCTAATTTCCTGGGCTCAGCTCCAGAGAGCTTTGTGGGGCTGAATTGGGGGCTCTGTGAATTGGTTTGTAGGAACCGGATTGGATTTGTTAGGCGCCGGTTTTAGTTCATAGAATATATCTACGAATGTAACTGGAAGGGATCTGATAGATCATCCAGATCAACCCTCTGTTCAGTTGAGGAATCCTCTACTTTCCACAACAAATGGTCATTCGACCCTGTCTAGCAAAGGAACATTTCGCGGTTCTAGGTGGAATATTATACATTTTATAAGTCTTCACCATCTATTCTAGCAGCCTCTCCAGTGGTTTAGATAGATGCTTCGGAGAAGCTTTCAACCAGAGCACTTTGTGTACTTGGATTGTGTACTTGGATTTTCAGAAAACCTTTACAGTTCTTCTTCAAGGGCTGTTGAGTAAAATTAGCAGCCATGGAACTTTCCTACAGGGTTGCAAATTAATTAAAAAATCAAAAGCAGAAATTAAAAATAAATTGGATTTTTTTCTGTGAAGTAAGAAGTAAATTCTACAAGATCCCATGCGAGGACCAATGCTTTTAAGCTTAATTGTTAATCATCTTAAACATAAGTATGGAGCTGCCCAAGTTTACAGATGATACTAAAATACTTAGGATAGTCAAAACCAAAAGTGATTATGAAAACCTCCAGAAGAATATGTTTAAAATGGATGAATATCTAATTAAGTGTGATTCAATTTAAATCACTTTTAGGCAAAATACCATAACTGTACAGATACACAAAAGAAATTCCAGTTGACACTAATCTTGGAATCTTAGTGGATACCTCTATGAAGATATTAACTCTTTAGAATTGATAAAATACAGCATTTTTCTATATAGTGCAAAATTATTTTGTGGAATTTATTTCAGGATGTGACAAAAATAATTTATTTGGATGTTTTAATGGCGGGATTAGATAAATTCATGTATGACATCAGTCAAAGGCTTCCAGTCTTGAGATGTATTGTCATATCCCAATTAGGGACTACATGCCTATAGGTATAATACCATCTGTTTGAAAACACTTCAGAGATTTTTCCTTGGTCATGGTGAGAAACAAACTGTTGGATTAACCTTTGGCCTGATCCAGTTGGTTTATTCTTGTGTTCTTATGTTTTCTTTACTCATTTATTCTATCTATGGTATCTATTTTTTGTTGCACACAAACTTATGCACGTGTCACAGAGGAAGTAATTTCTAGTGAGAGCAATCAGACATGAGTGTTTAGAACAGGGGTGTCAAAGTCGCATCATGGTGTCACGTGACATATTGTGACTTTTCCCTTTGCTAAAATGGGGGGGGGGGCATGGCCAGCACATGATGCATCTGGCTCGCAGGCTGCAAATTTGACACCCTTGATTTAGAACATGAGAAGATGTGGCAGTCGGAAAATAAAATGTTTGGGCTTGTGTTCGGTTTCACAGGAGAGCGACTCTGCAGTTTAGAGGAAGGAACCCCTGGGAATGGTACCTACACACGCCATGGTTCCATCTTTGCCTCTTTGGCTGGTTGTTTCATAAAGAAAAGTGAGAATGGCATGGTGAGAATTAAGTATTTCTGCATAGAAATAACTTCTTAACCTCAGTTGTGTCTGGGATTTCAGTTGTAAGTTGTGCACCCATGTCAGTGGACCTGATTTTATTACCATTTTTACAGCTGTCATTAAGCTAAACATGTAATCATTGTAACTCTAAATCACATGTTCATTAAATGAATCATATAATTATAAGTCTGATTACAGAAACAGCAAAAGATGCTGGAAACCAGTAAAAATAACATAGCAAATTGTGGCCACATGATTGCAGGACACTGCAACCAGTTGTAAATTTGAGCCTGTTGCCAAGTGCGCAAAATCCAGTCATATAACGGAGAAGGGGGAGAATGCAATATTTTACAATAGCCAGAAGTCTTTTATTGCCTGTAAAGCACCCTTTCCAAGAACATTATAATTTGTGAAACATCATTAAACAAGGACTGCATGTAGTGGTGTGCTGTGGATGATAGTGGGGTGGGGGATAATGATAATGATTTCATGCTTTGAATGACTTGACATACTGGTAATCCAGAAGGGGTTGGACTTCAACTTATCTTTTGGTGGTAGCTCAATACTCAATGCTGAATCATGCTGGTTTTTCACACTCCCTACAGCTCCCGGTAATCTCTGTGATGAGAGATGTGGAATCTCAGCTACTGCCTGATGTGGGAGCCACAGTGACTTGCAAGGTAGCATATTTATCTAAAAATTTCATTGTTATTTTTAATGCAGGTATTAGTGTCAAGAATATAAAAGGTAATATAAATAGATAGAATGCCATATTTACCCATAAGTGAAGAGTAGGGTTTTTTCCCCCTACAGATCATTCATCTTTGGAAGCTCACCTTAAATTTGCTAACAGTGTGATGAATGAAACAAATTGCCATATTTTTCAGACGCACCTTTTTTCCTCAAAAAAGAGGCTGGAAATCTGGGGGCGTCTTAGACACTGAATACAGCATATTTTGCCTCCCACCCACCCCTTCACCAAAGTCGCCGTGCATAGCCCTTAGGAGCCTTGCAGAGTGCTCCTGGGGGCTGGGGAGAGCAGAAATGAGTGAAAAACAGGACGTTTTTTGCTCAAATTTGCCCCCCCCCCAAAAGCACTCTATAAGCCTCCTAAAGGCTATGCATGCCCTTTGTTTTGACAAGAACGAGCCTGTTTTTGTGAAAAACGGGCCATTTTTTTGCTCATTTTTGGTCCCACCCCACCTCCCAGGAGCACTCTACAAGCCTTCTAAAAGCTATTCGTGCCCCCCCCCCTTTTTTTTTTGAAAAAAAAGCAGGGAGGTCTGCAGTGCAAAAACCTTTTTTTTAAATTTGCCTCTTCAAAATCTTGGTGCGTCTTATACTCTGAAAAATACGGTAGGCTTTTGTCTAATCTTTCTGTGGTATTGGTTAAATGTGAGATCATTTTCCCTACAATAAAATGAGTATGTAAAACCTAGATCCCAATTATAATCATAATATATTGCCAGTGTTGCTGTCTGCATTTATTTTTACATGTTTTTTAGTTGGTTAGTCCCTGCATTCAATATTTAGTAGGCCCACTGTGATGTTGCAGAAAGAAAAGGCTTATATATCCTAGCTTGGAGGTTAGCTTGGTTATTTTCACTATGTGGAACTGAAGCATTATCGATTACAGTCCTTAAGTTATAAGAGAGAACAGATTGTTGCTAAAAGTTGCTTTCTCTCTTCCTCTTTTCCTCTTCAGGTTTGCAGTATTAATTCTCGTTTTGCCAAGGTGCATATTTTGTATGTTGGTTCTACACCATTAAAATCCCCATTCCGTGGAACAATACGGTATGAAGAAAACTTGTTTGTGGACATCTTTTGAAGGTGGCATTAGAATAAGCCAACTACATTATGTTAATACTCCATCTGGTTCTCGTTGTTGATATTTGATAATGAGAAATGGAAATATTGTTGACTCTAAAGCTCTGCTGATTATAATCTGTTCATATAATTAGCTAATTCCTCTTTCTAAATTACATTATTACACAATATACATGTTTTATTTTACTTATTTATTAAATTTATTGATGGTTTTATTGATGCTGACTTTACCAGAAGGGTAACTCTGGGTGGTTTACAATATTACAAAATAAAATATAATAAGCCCATATGCAGTAAAAATATAAACAATCCACTGTAACTGAAAGATGGGATGGGAGGGAGTAGGATGGGGAGGGAAGATAAAGTCACTTGTTTTGTAAGATTAGTTGAAGAGGTAAGAGAGGAAAATGGCAAAATTATGGTTTCATCTTCTCTTCCATTATAGGAGAGAAGATATCCGAGCTACAGAGAAGGACAAGGTCAGGTGGCTTTATATTTGGTTATATCAAATGAAGAAAATATGGCAGAAAAATATTTTACATTAATGTGTATGAACATACAGAAACGTTCAATCATTTTATTCCACATGTATTGGTATAGTTTTCAGGTGATGGCTAAAACATGCTAGGAACAAAAATGAATTCAGTTGCCTATTTGGGGTAGTGATTTGATTCCTGGTGTAAGAATACAAATGGTTAACAGCCACTCATTCAGCAACCACCTGACCTTATAGTGGCACTGAACAAGCGATACTTTATGACCAGTCCTCAAAGTTCCATCTGTTGCAGCTCCCCCCTCCCCCCCATGCTTATATAATCATGATCACTTGGCAAATTGCCTGGATTTTGGACCATTGGTTGTGATTTGCAAACATCCCTGCTGGTTTCCTCTAAGCAAAGTCAATGAGGAAGCTGGCAGGAAGTCTGGATCACATGAGGTCTGCCTTAACTACCCACAATAATTTGCATAATGGCAATAACTAGAGTGCTGGGAATGCCATAGACCATGCTCAAGAGTATGGTCATATGATATTACATTTACATCAG